TTCAGCCTGACCTACCTCCCAGGGTTGTTGTGAGGATAAAATAGGGAGAGGAGAATGATGTAGCTGACTTTGAGTCCCCATTGTGGAGAAAAGCAGGGTGTAAATGAATTAAATAATAGCAATAGTAATACAAAAACGATAGAAGATGGAAATAGATTCTGTTCCGGTTGTAGTGAGTCTATTATTGGTAAGGGTTGGTCACTGCATGTAATGATTTCAAAGTATGACTGTTGCTAGCAAATAGTATAGGCAATTACATATCTAATAGCCTCCTTGAAAATGGAACTGCCCCACTTTAATCACTGGTGCTGAGCATATACTAAAGTCCCCTTGTAAAAATATCTGCGCAAAGAGGAATAGTAGGGACATTCAGCATTCTGATAATTGAAGAATTGTGCATGTGCCAAGAAGAGGTGAAGGTGCTTCAGAAAAATGTTACTTAGGTATGATGTAATATTTCCTTCATACTGACCTGAATCCACCAGAAGCCTTTCACAGGCAGAAAGGATTTCTGACCATAGTGTATGTCTCACACACACCCCACCACCATATCAGCTGCAGGCTAGAAGGCCCCCTGAAATGTTGTTTCTGGAGGGGGGAACAGGGGTGGGTGTCAGTAGTCCATTATGGAAGGAGAGAGCGGGTGAAAATCAGACTCACACAGCTCATGTAGAAATTCTCCAGTGGATCCAAGCTGTAGTCTTTCTCTAGCTGTTGATCTCCGACATAGGGGTGTGCACACAAAAAATTGGTATTTTTTGGGTTCAGGTATATTGAACCCGGAAAATATCAGTATTTCTTGAGACCCCCGAATCCCAATATTGGTATGGTATTGGAATTTGGAAAATATGCAGGATTGCCAAATTTTTCAGCTCCATTATACCCTATGGGAAATGTTGTAGTCAGTAGTCCCCATAGGCTATAATGGAGAATGGATCTGGTGGTATCTGGGGCTCAGGGAGGGCTGTTTTTTGAGGTAAAGGCAGCAAATCTGCAGCATAGCTGCAGGTAAAAAAACCTCGAAAGCCAGTCGTGCCTCTCCTCAAAAAATTCATCAAGTTTCAAAAAGATTGCGCTGGAACTCCACACCGCAGCCAGTGAACTCCGAAGGCATTTAAAGGGACTGAAAGTCCTTTAAATGCCCTTTAACTGCACCTATCCAACAGCCATTTTTCGCGGCAGCCATTTTGGATAGCCGAATCACTAGCCTCCTCGGTGATCAGCTGAGAAAATACATGATGAATATAGATAAGACATTTATTGGGTATATATTCGGCTCAGTTTATACCGAGTGCACACCCCTGGCTCTCACTCAGGCTTCCAGGCAGTCCCTGCTACCCCCTCCTTGGTTGAGCTGCTAATCCACAGTGCCTTACAGCTTGCTTTGGAGTATTAGAATCCTATAGATCACCTCCTTAGAAGGTCCCCCCCCCCCATGGCTTCAATCTCTGGGAGGCAGTGCCGAACGTTGTCTGACCTAAAGGGTGTTTAGGATTGCACATCTGTGGCTTTGCTTTCCTGTCCTGTAATCGTCTCTTGGTTGCCATTTGTGATGTGCTTAAAAGGTGTGTTTCAGTCTCCAGTCCGTCACCTTTTAATTAAGAATTGGGTTACCCATCAGCAGAACTGCTTTTTCTAAAAGCACCTGCAGCATCCAGCCCCAGTACTTTGTTTACATGGTTGGTATAAAAAAGAATTCTTAAAAATATATAAATGTTGCGCTAGGATCGGCTTGGCTCCTTGATCCATGCGGACTAGTACTGTAGGATCCATGCGGACTAGTACTGTAGGATCCATGCGGACTAGTACTGTAGGATCCATGCGGACTAGTACTGTAGGATCCATGCGGACTAGTACTGTAGGATCCAGCCCCAGTACGTTGTTCACATGGTTGGTATAAAACAGAATTTTTTTAAAAAAACATAACTGTTGTGCTAGGACCGGTTTGGCTCCTTACACCGCATGGACTAGTTTTAGCTAGTGGTGTACAGTCCGAACAGATAACTGAAAGAAAACTGGAATCCGTCTGAAGTAGGTGCAGTATAAAAATGTTTCCGGCTCTCCCATCCCAAGGTCCGGGGACGGTCTCAGGAGCTGAAGACGAATATTATCCTGGAGTCTCACATAATCTGCTGTACGCTCAGCACAAGTGGTGGGGCGCTGCTGGAATCCGCGTTCCGGAGGCAGACCTATAATCCAATCAGCTGCATCATTGTGGATGAGGTGAGCAGAATGTCACGCTGCCGTGGGGGGGGGCGGCTTTGGCTGCCTGTTTGAGAAGCAGAAATGGTCCTGCTTCTCCATGCTTTTGCCAGGTTGCTGATAGGCCTTTGCTTGCACACTCGGGTGGCGTTGGAGGGGAGAGAGCATTGCTGCTTTTGAGGAAGAGGAGGCTTACAGTACTCCGGGACGGATACGGTTGCTGCTTAGAAACCAAAGAGCAGTTGCTTCTTAGGATTGGAGGGGAAGTTTTGTTTCAGCTGGAAGGCAGATGGTTCTGTTCAGAGCTAGAGCAGCAGTTACAAGAATTAGTTGGGGAAGTCCCTGGTTCAAATCCCTCCTTGGCCATGCAACCACAGGGCAGGTTTCTCATTCACAACCCATCCCCATTTCCAAAATGAGAGTAGTAGTATTGGTCTTACAGCACTGTTTGTTGCAACGGCTGCTGGAGTAACCTGTGCAAAGCCGTTTGCATACTCTGACGTCTTAATAATCTGTGGGTTGTATGACAAATTCTGGCTCTTCTGTGAGATCTAAGTAACAAATCATAGTTTGCTTTCTGTACCGCCTGAGGGCCACAAAGGGCAATGCTGTGCCACAAGCCATAATTCGTGAGATCAGGCAATTTGTATAAACTTTCCCTAACAAATCGGTAGAAACCTGAGCTTGAAATCCTAGTTTGGTGCCAAGCAACATACCTTGCATTCGGACCTCACAATTAAGGATGAGCATGAACCTGCTGACAAACTAAAGTTTGTCACAAATTTTGGGCAGTTCGTGCTTCGTGAAGCAATGTTCACAAACTGAAGAACCACCATAATGCCCACAAACTTGTGGTGGTTTGTGGGCGGGGTTTGGTTTAAATGGCTCTGATCACCACAGTGATCCCACAGCTTGGATCCATTTAAACCAAACAGCTGAGCGGCGGACCGAGCCGTTCAGCTGTTTGGAAACACCTGCTTTCTGCTCCCCGCAAAAAGCCATGGGGAGCAGAAAGCAGGGGTTTAAACTTTAAATGGCTCACAGACTGCTTCAGTCTGCAAACCGATGTATCAGTTTGTGGTTCGGTTCATGGTTTTTGCAGTTCGTGCCTACCCCTACTCACAACTAATCAGAGTCTGGTCATACTGCAGTTTATCATGATGTCTGAATGCAGTAGCCTTAGGAAAAGCACTATGGAGAATGTATCATCCCAGGCAAGCAGCCTAGGCCCCAGTCAAGCTCTGAACATGTTCACAGGAAAGGACCATGGCTCAGAGGTAGAGCAGCTGCTTGGCTCGCAGAAGGTCCCAGGTTCAATCCCCGGCATCTCCAGTGTAAAGTATCAGGTAGGAGGTGACTGCTGCTTCAAACTGTGAAGACCCACTGCCAGTCTGAGTAGACAAGTCTGACCTTGATGGACCGGTGGTCTGATTCAGTGTAAGGCAGCTTCATGAGTCCACGCATCCACCATAGACTGGCTTGGCCCAATCCCAGAATTGCCTACCAAGTCACATGGCTGGACTTTGCCCCCAAAGAGCATCCTCCAGAAGGCCGCAGCTGGCACGGCCCTGAGGAATTTGGTGCCCCGAGCTTGTGAAGCTCCCTGATTGTGACTTGAAGCTCCCCTGCTGAAAATGAGGAGTGGCCCCTTTCGTCGGTCAAGCGTCCAGGGCAGCATCCTCCTTCTGCAGACACTTACCTTGCAGATGTTTAAACGCAGCAGTTTATATGTGCAGGGTTCGTGCTCTGCCTCAGAACTCCATTAATATTCCTCAGAGAGGAAAGAGAGCGGTATTAATGATCATCTGCTCCGTGAACGGCTTCTCTTGCCTGACAACTCCACCGCCTGGATTTATTAGCCCAGTTACAAATGTAAGCCATCCTTTGAAGGCGGCAGGTCACAGGCGAAGCAGGCTGCCCTCCTTGCTCCATTTAACAGGATCTGAGACATTCCCCAGCTTCTGAGGAGACGAGAACAGCTTTGACAGCACTTTACCTTCCTCGTGCACTGGGGATTCAGACTGAGGGGAATGGAAGGCAAGACTGGCCAGGTGACGCAGAGGGAGGCAGAGCCATAGCTGGGAGGGCCGGGACTGACCGCTTTGAGGGATCACATGCTGCTCCGTCTCCTGCCCGTCTGCCTCGATTGGGCCAGATGGGAGAGGACCGGTGTTCCCTCTGACAAGCTAGCTCACAGTTTCTTAGCCTCCGGCTCACACATCTTTGCCTTCCCTCAGAAAGGATGGCTCCAGGGCAAGCTGATTTATGCAGCGGCCAAATCGCTCGCTCACAGCTTTAATGCCAGTGGCTCTCAAAGTAGAATTTTTGCTCACAAGGCTCCACAGCTTGGAGGGAGCATTGGAGAGGACCCACCTGCCTTGCCCCTTATAGCCATACCGTGTAGCATACAACACGCCTGTAGCTTCATGGGTTGGATAAATGGGGGGGGGGCCTCAACCCTTTGCGGACTTTCTCTGTGGGCCCATCTGAGCACATGAAGTGGTCTCATCCTCAGCCCAGCCTTTGGTCTGTCTAGGTAGTCACTGCCTGCTTTGACTGGCATTGGCTCTCCAGGGTCTCAAGCTCTGAGGTCTTTCGTATCTACCTGATCCCTTTTTTAAAGAAATCTGGAGACATCAGGGACTGAACCTGGGGCTGTTGGCACGTGAAGCACATGTGCCGGCCGCTGAGCAACAACCAGCGACAGCCATATTCCACAAGACCTGTCCGTAACTTTCACATAAAAGTGATTTTGCATGCGTATAATTACAGTAGAATTTCACCACAGTCCCTGCCTGCAGACGAACAGTCTGTAGAGAGGAAGGTTCAAAGGCAAGAAGAGGCAGCGGCATGGTTCTGCACAATGGCAAACCGTGCTGCTCCACGTGGGGGGGGGGTTTCCTAACGTTTTAGGCTTCCTTCTCCTGTCTCGTGCAGGACAAACTAGGTCATTTGTAACAAACTGTTGCTTGCTAGATTCCCCGTATACAAGGTGGCTGCAAACCTTAGTTTGCCAGTCCAGGAGGCCATGGGGAACTCTGGCTTGCCAGAGCCCCACAAACAGCCGTTAAGTTGCCGAAGGAGTAGAGGACCTCCAGGCTCATTCACAGAGCTCTTTGTCTGCACTAGGCAAGAAGAAGAGAAGCCAAGAAAAGTACTCTTTTTGAGACGCAGGCGAAGGCTTCTAAAAGATGCGAGAGAGTCTGCCGGACAAACGCCTGTGTGGTGGGACGGTCCTGTGTCAGCTGGCGGGCCCCGCTCTGCCCACCCCTCTTTTTGCCTGACCTGGCACCTGAAGGGGCAGTTTTTCTCCACTGCCTCCGGGTATCGCTGCCACCACTGTCCCTGTCTTGGGCCCTGGTTAGGCGGGACAGCCTCCTAACCTCCCTCTGATATCACTAGGAACCCACCTCGGGGCTTCCTGGTAATCTTCGGGGCTCCCCTGGAGAGCTGGCAACAGGATGTTTTGCCCCTGTCCTCCTCGGGGAGTCCCTGACCCAACCCTGGCGTGGCCAAGCGTCTGGGGGAACTAGGTGGTACAGGGGGACTTCTCAACGCCAACGGTGAAAGGATTTATTTGAAAACTCAACTATTTACAGGCATATTAACAGTGAACGGAGGAATCAAAATAAAGGTGACAGAACCGCTCCCTGTCTGGATGGTCTGCAGGGCAGGCACATGGCTTCACTCCATTGGGGAAGGTGAGATCAGCAGGTCTCCCAACATGGCCTCTGCCTCCTGCAGGCTCCAGCCGACAGCCTGACCGGCTCCAGACTTCTGACAGCCTGACTGGCCTGGCTTCCCGCCCAAAACTCCACGCTATGAAACATCAGTTTCCCCCACCCAGGAGCTGGCTCCCCCTCCTGCAGCATTCTGGGGCAGATCTCCTCACCACCGTGATGGACTTCCTGTCCTCTCTAGGGAGCTGTCCTCAGATTACTAGTTGGAGACAGGAGGGGAGGGGGGGAATGAGGAGGAGACTAGGCCCAGGCCTATCTCAGGTTGGATGGTCCCCTCCTATCCGGCCCGCACCAACTTAAATATATACATAAAATGGCGTTTCTCCACAGTCCGAATGTCAGAAAACCCTCGCTTTCAAAGGGACTAGAAACTCTCAGGAACCGGCATCCTGTGACTCGTATCCAAAGGTCCCACTTCTTGGGCAGAAGGCCTCTTGGCTTACGTGCACGAGTGCTGTAGATCCGCTTCCCCGCCTTCCCCCATCTCCTGCACTCAGCGTCCCAGAAATGAGCTGCAGAATATCTTGGGGGGACATACCAGATGGTTTCAAACACAGGACCGGGAGAGGCCAGTCTGTGACATGTGTACATTCCTTGCAGAAGTAACTTCCCCGGATCCAAGCATGTTGTCTCCCTGCCCTTGCCTGAAATTGCATGCACCCTGCCTGTAATTTTGTCTTCCCACGTTTGAGTCACATCGTATTTTTTGTATCCCCCCCCCCCCCCCCCCCCCTCCTTCCCGCAGGGCAGGCCTGTGAGGTTGAAACGCTCGTCCCGCTCATTCACGGCTGCCGAAAGCTCGTCCTGGTTGGCGATCCCAAGCAGCTCCCTCCTACGGTGATCTCTGTGGTGAGTACGGCACGGAGGCCTCTCCCGTGTCCGGGGGAGAGGGAGCGGCGCAGCCCGTGACTGACAAGCTGTTTATAACAGCACAATATCTCTGCTCTGGTGGAATGATAAAGAGGAGCGCTTTCATCAGGTGCTCTCAACACATGAGCCACTGCAGGGATTTCCAGTTGGATTGCTTGCCCGATTAAATCAGCTGTGCGGTTCTGCGTGTTTCTTTATGCAGCCATCCCAAGTTATTGCCAAATTCCTGGAGTGCCGCTCTGAACGGCAGATGAAATGGCATCCGGAGTTCACTGGGAGAATTAAGGGGGCCGGGGGGTTATGAGCACCCAAGTATGGGGGAAATCGTGGGAGTCTTTTTGGGTTAGACTCCTGAAGCCCCCTGAACTCTTCTTGTGATACATCAGGCGTGACCAAAAGGTTCTGCTCTTGTCGGGGGCTAGCCCGAACCTGAGCTGGTGGTGCCGAGGCCGCCTTGAAACATACATGGCTGCGTTCCCCCTGAGCAAAGAGGGACGATGTTATTCTGAAAGGTTTATGCGGGATTAACGACTATTTTTGGTTCTGTCTACGTGCTTTTACGTGAGAGGATCAGATGGATTAATCCGCAATCCTCTTATCTAAGCCTCTTCCTGAGACCTCACTGAAAGCACTCCGTGGAGATTGTAGGCCTCCACCCCCCCCACCCCCCCGCCGCAGCAGACTGAGGAAAGGGGGTGAGTTCCCAGCAGGTAGTTTTCTCCTGAACAGAACCGGTCAGAGGTGGGGTTTAGGGGAGGGGCTCACGTGTCCGTTTGCTAGCAGCGACTGCCCTGCCCTGAAACCCGGCCCAAGAAGACCTCCTTCTCCTCTCCCTTGAGTTCTGTGCAGCCTCCAGAGAAGAGGGTGGGGGTTGAGAGAGGCTCCTGCTCACACTGGAGGTGTTGGTGGGAGAGGGGCGCTGCTGCCTCTCCCCCAGAGCCTGGCGCAAAGCAAAATGTCTCTGCACCTGAGGCCGCAGCAGCCCTTGTGGATCCTTTGGGTTCTGTGCTCCTCTTTAGAGAGAGAAAAGCATATTCTTGTATCCTTGGGGGCTGGGAGACTTGCACGCCAGGTGGCAGGTGCTGCTTTTCCATTTTGCCCCAGACCGAACCATCAGTTTGGCTGGAGATCCTGGAGGTTTCTCGTCACCTTCCGGGCACGGAACAGCACTGTCACTTGGGGGTGTGGGGCGGGGGGAGGTCTTTGTGTGAATTTCCTGCATTGTGCCGGAATGACCCCGGAGGACCCCAGATGACCCTGGAGGTCCCTTCCAACTCTATGATTCATTGAAATCAGTAGAGCACCTTGTTATGGCCGCATCTCCCGGGGCCTGGTCAAGTTCCATGCAGTGGGCGGGAGGTGGGAATCTGCCTGGCAGCCTCCTTGTGTGTTGATTTGAGTTCCGCGATGGAAGGAAAGGGTAGAAATGTAGCAGATTTATCTTTTAAACAAGAGCTCAGCGTTTAGCCCTCCGTGGCTCGGCAGCTGCTATATTATGGGACAGCCTGTCCGGATGACCTGGGCCTCTCTCCCCAGGGGTGGAGCAGCAGAGGGAGACGCACCGGGAGCTGCCGTGGGGGGTGGGAAAGCAGGACTGGCAGGGCAGTCTGTCCTCAGAGTCCCGGGAATGGGCTCCACGGAGCCCGGCTGGGTTCTGGGGAGGCCGGCTTAGAAAGGTGCTGCGAGCCAGACAGTCCCAGCCGGAGCCTCCTGTGGCTGCTACAGATTCGGCAGCTCTAAGCAAGCCACATTGATCCCCTCGCCCTCCAGTGACAGGGTGCAGAGTCACGGCCAGGGAAACTGAGGGTCAGATCCTCTCTGAGTCCCCCCGAGCTCCTCGGGTGAGCTTCTGTCGGCCACACCCTGGCAGCGCACGGAAGGGTTGTGAGGGAGGCGCAGGGAGCCGCCTTATCCCGCGTCAGGCCCTCCGTCCATCAGGGCCAGTCTTGTCTACTCAGATGGGCAGCCGCTCTCCAGGGTCTCAGGCAGAGGTCTTCCGCATCCCCGACTGCCAGATCCTTTCTGTAGCCGGAGGTGCCAGGGGCTGAGCCTGGGGCCTTCGGCAATGCCAAGCAGAGGCTCTGCCACTGAGCCACGGCCCCTCCCCACACGTGTGCCACCCAGCGCCTGCGTGGAAGGCTGAGAGGGAATTCTCATAGACGTGCATAACCTCCTGCATTAGGAAACATTAGGTGATAGTGCTTAACCTCAGGGTTGTTGCACGAATGATAAAACTTGGGCTTTTAAGAAGTAAATCGTAATCGATCGTAATCAACTGTGTTGTGAACTGCTGCTCACAGCCGCTCT